CGCCGTGCCGCCCAGGGGGACACCGAGCTGCTGGCCAACCTGCCTGACCAGAGGGCCGCCCTGCAGCACTCCGCCTTGGCCTGCCTGGTAGGCCCTGGGGCGGGACAGGAAGGGTGGAAGGGACCTGGGGCCGGGCCCTCGCTGACCTGCTGTCCTGCAGGGGGTGTCCCACCCACCACGGCTCAGCGCCTCAGATCTGCTGCTCCTCGGGGTCCTGGTGTGCGACATGGAGGCGTCCAGCATCATGGCCTCGGACCCCCACGTGCTGCAGAACCTGCAGCGCTGCCCGCGGCTGACCCCTGCCCAGCAGGCTGCTCTCAACACGCTGCTGACCAGCGGGAGGACCGTGCTTGGGTGGGTGGGGCCCATCCCCTCTGCGAGGCCTCCCTCCTGGAGATGAGACGAGGGCAGCCTAGGGTTTGGGCCCAAGAGTTCACTGAGCTCCATAGCCCCGCTGATCTCCCACTTCTAACGTCGCTCACAGCCTTTGGGGCATACAGGTTTGGGGTGCTGCCAACACCCACTGGGCGCCTCAATCCCCTGCCCTGAAGCCTGGGTGGGAGAGAGTCTGGGCAGGCGAGGGGGCCCCAGCAGGGCAGGCTCTGGGAACTGTGCACTCAGGGACAGGCAGGCAGCCTCAAGGGCTGGGTGCTGCTCCAGACCCAGCCCCCTCTTCCTACACACCAGGCCCCCTATCTCCTGGAACCTGGAGGAGTTGCAGGCTCTGGGACCACTGGCCACCTACATCAGCTCCAGCCTGTGGATGCACGTGCAGGAGGTAGGATGGTGCCCTGGGGTGGGGAGCAGGAATCGAACTGGCCCTAGACACAGAGAGAGGTGTCCAGCAGACCCTCTAGGCCTGAGGGCTGACCATTCAGCCACCCAATCAATGCCTGAGTGGTGTCCCCAGTTGCTGCCATCACAGAGTCTCTATCTGTGGGATGTGGGGAGGAACCAGCTGCCGGCTGTGGAGTCTTCAGCACCCGCTGCCAGGCCGTGGGCCTGGACTTCTTTGGCAGCATGGTGGCTGCATGTCGAGCAGGGCGGCTCAGCCAGCGTGACATCAGGCACTTTGTCACCAGCTTCCTTGAGGCCAAGGCCAAGGCCAAGTTGATGTCCTCACGGCCCAAGCGGGGCACAGGTCAGTGTGGCCTCTGTGGCCTGGGGACACTGCTCTGGACTCCCGATCCCTGGGTGGGGGCACCCAATACACGGCCACACCTGCCGCCCAACCTCCTGAGCTTGTGTCCAGCATAGGCCGACCGGACAGAAGCAGTGAGGCTGGACTTCTGGGCCAGGGCCGGGTTGGAGGTCAAGGTCAAGGTCAGGCTGGACTTGGTCTACTCTGAGCCAAGTTCTTGGCTTGGGGTCAAGCTTGGGGAGAGAGTCCAGGGTGGGTGAGGGTCAGCAGTGAGGTGGAGCCTACAGTCAACCCCACCCCCAGCCACAGGGCGACCCTGCATCCAAGGCAACATCACGGCGGCCACGCTGCAGGATGACCTCTTCCTGCTTCGCTACGACTGCTCCCAGCTCGAGTCTTGCCTGGGCAGCCGCGTGCTCAGGGCCAACGTGGACCGCTTGCTGCAGCACCCACTGCCTACTGAGTGTCAGCGTGTCGTCAAGGCCAAGTTGGCTCGGGTACACTGAAGACTGGGTGGAGGCAGGTGGGTGGTGGGCGCTAGGGCTGGGCCTGATCCGCTCGCCTGCCTCAGATCTACCCAAGTGGCATCCCGGAAGAGCAGCTTCGGCTCATCACCTCGCTGGTCTACCTGTACTCTCTCGTGGAGATCCGCCAGTGGAACATCACGTCTAGGGACACCGTCATGGCCCTGCTGGCCTCGGACGTGGCCCTGGGGAACCAGACGGAGGTGAGGGCAGGACGGGTGGGGGAAGGTGGTGCGGCTGGGGGGTGGGGGTACCCGCCGACCCTGACCCCAGCACTGCCCCCAGGCCATCCTGCAGAAGTTCCTGGACCACAAAGGCACCATCACTAGCGCCCTGCTTGTGGCCATCGGGGGCTCCCGCCTCTGCTGGATGAGCCCCCGCCAGATCCAGGCCATCCGGCCCTCGGAGTTCCGGTGAGCCGACCAGCGACACGCTCGCTGCACCCTGGGTCAGCTCACCTCCTCACCCAGCAGAACAGGAGGGGGAGACGGAGGCTCAGGAGGGGTCTGGGCCAGGCTAACACAGGTGTGTTAGTTTCCTACAGCTGCCAAACTGAGTTGTTGTTTTTCATTTATTTTTGGTTAATCCTCACCCAAGGATACTTTTTCCATTCATTTTCAGAGAGTAGAAGGCAAGGAGGGAGCAGGAGGGAAGAGAGAGAGAGAGATGGAGAGAGAGAGAGAGCGAGAGAGAGAGAGAGATGTGAGAGAGACATATCCACTGGTTGCCTCCTGCACTCACCCCACAACCCAGGTATGTGCCCTTGACAAGGAGTGGAATCAGCAACCCTTCGGTGCACAGGCCAGTGCTCCAACCACTGCGCCACACCCTCCAGAGCTCAAACTGAGTTTTACAAGAACAGAAATGTATTCTCTCACCGTCCGGAGGCCAGAAGTCTGGAATTAAGGTGTCAAGAGGGCCAGGCTCCCCTTGAAACTTCCTGCCTCCTCCAACTTCTAGTGTTGCTGCCAATCCTCGGCCTTTCTTGGCTTATGGCCTCATCACCCTCTCTCTGCCTCCATCATCAGCACGTGGCTGTCTCCCGCCCGTGTCTGTGTCTACATTTCCTTCTTTTATGACTCCAGTTGTTAGCTTTTAGGGCCCACACTAATTCAGTAGGGCCTCGTCTTACTTTGATGACAGCTGTACATAGGAAAGAGCCTCTTTCCAAATAAGATCACATTCTGAGGTTTGGGGTGGACATAAATTCTGGGGAGACACTATCAGCCCAGCAGAGAGGGCAAAAGGGTAGCTGCGGTTTAGGGAGAGAGGGCCAGGCCCAGCCAACCGTAGGAGGAGGGCTCCCAGCCTGCCCATCAGCCTCCCCTCCCCAGGCTGGCCGGGGCCCTGGATACCTCCTCCTGCCCTCAGAGCCGGAAGAACGAGCTCTTCTTCAAGGCCCGAGAGGCCTTCGGCAGCACCAGGACCACCACTGCCTACTACGACTTCGTGC